GCACGTGCTGCTTGTCAATTAAGGCGCCGCGTTCGGCATCGCGAGGTGTGCATGTGCACATGCTCATGACACATGCACATGCACATGCACATACACATACACATGCACACGCACATGCACATGCACATGCACAAACGCTCGGAGGGCCTTGTCGCGGCTCGAAGCGGACCGATGCGCATGTGCATGTGCATGTGCATGTGTGCGTGTGCATGTCACACGTGTCCTGTTGCGGCCTGAAGCGGCGCCCATACCGGCATGTGTCACATGCACATGACATGCACATGCAATGCGCATGCACATCGATGCGGCGCCGATACCGACATGTGTCACATGCACATGCACACATGCACATGCACATCGATGCGGCGCCGATACCGACATGTGTCACATGCACATCGACATCGATGTGGCGCCCATACTGACGTGTGTCACATGCACGTGCACATGCACATGCGCGCACTGACGCCCATACTCTCGCCTGCACTGTGGGCCATGCTGACGACCATGCTGACGACCATGCTGAGGGCCATACGCCGCCTTCCGAAGGGGCCAAATGGCCCGACCGCCGATCGAGCATGGCCGAGCATGTGCATGTGCATGTGCATGTGCATGGCCGAGCATGAGCGAGGGCTATGGTTCGAACCGTGCATGCACATGCACATGCGCATGCGCATGCACATGCACATAATCGAGGGCGGGCGCTATGGTTCGAGGGCGGGCGCTATGTTGTTGTTTGGACAAGTGTTTGCTTTGGTGTTGCAGTGTGTTTGTTCGGTTCCGTCCGCTGATGGGCGGTCATAGAGCCTTGCTCTGGCTGTCATGCTCGGGTTCCGTGCGTCGCACTGTGTTGTGCTCCGCTTGCTGCTTCACACTTGTCCTCTTGGTCGGTTTGGTTTCTGTCTTTCATTGATTGTGCCGTTGGCACCGACTGCGCATGCGTCCTTTGTGTCCTTTGTGCAGTGTGTGTCCGCTCCTCGCCCGCATCTGATGCGGGCGTGGTTGCTTTTCCCCAAAACAGTAGCAGGTAGCGTTGGGTCACAAGTACCCTTGTAACTAGGACCTCCCCAAGAGGTACCCAAGAGGTGGCTCCGGAACCCCCCCAACGAGGTGGCCCCCCTTATTGCTCTTCAGGGGGGTCCAACCCCCCCCAAGAGGTGGCTATTGCCCCTCTTGAGGGGTCCAAACCGAATAGAAACCCCCCCAGGAGGACTCAGGAGGTGGCTAACGGTGGCTATTGCTCGTGGCGTCGTGGACGTGGGGGGGTCCAGACCCCCCCAAGACGAGAGGTGGCTATTGCTCTTGGGGGGTCCAGACCCCCCTCCCAAGAGGCTATTGCTCGTGGGGCGGGGGGTCCATACACCCCCCCGAAGGTGAGGTGGTTTCAGATCTTGTATTACCCCCCACCAAGTCACCCCCTTCGCCTCTTTTAGTTTTACATACGTTTGTCCGCGGTCAAATATCGGGGGTATTTTTTCAGGCTGGGGCCGGGCGAGATTTAAAATCGGATGCCAACATTTATCATTATCATAGACACAACCTTCAAAGAAACCATCACAGGAATTGGGCTTCATTACTACCTCCTAAATCTACACATTGTGTCCATGGCAAGATCCAATTTCACGCGCGAGCTTGGACCTACCATCCGCAATGTACAAAGACGGTGGCCTCACCCTACCGTAGCTAGGCCTACGAGAAGCGACCCGAGAAGGCAGCGCGCTTGAACTTTATCGCTCGGTCGCACTCACGGCGGCGGCTTTTCCTGGCTAGGGGGCGAGCGCGCCGACCGGGTCGCGTCTCTTCCGTCCTCAGGCGATGCAATAGCCGTCGTCAACCGCCCCGATCGCCATGCTCAGATTGAGCGCACCGCCGGCAGTGGGGCCGTTGATGGGACAAACGTCGCCGTTCTTGGGAAGCACGCCCGTTTCGAGATATGCCCCCACCTTGCCGTAGCACTCTTGGGCGCCCATCCCAGCGTTGTAATACTCGTCCTTGTTCGGATCGTCGGTGAACGGGTCAGTCGGCAGACCGTGTTTGTAGCCTTGCCAGGAGAGCAGCACGCCGTTTGGAAACATCCTCTGCATCATCTGCGCACCCGAATACACCGTCGCGGGGTCGCCGAATTGACCGATGATCAGCGGCGTCAAGTGATCGAACGAGCGGCCTTTGGGGGGCGTCGGACGCGGCAAATTGGGCTGGACCGCGATATCGTGGTAATTGGTGTCGCCCATCGCGCCGAGCGGATGCAGGCGCTTCATTTCCTCCCAGAGGCGTGCAAGCGCGGGAGGGCTCAAGCGGCCTTTAATGTCGACCGCACGCACCAACGTCACGGGTTTATTGTCACGTTCCTCCTCCTCGTCCAGACGCCGCTCCTCGCCCTCCTCATCTGCCGCATTGGCCTGTTTGAAGCAGCAGCCCGGCCCTTTGAAATCGCGGCGGTCGACGTACGACTGGATGCAGGCCATCAGCATCGAGCCAGCCGGATAAATTCCTTTGCTCATGATGGTTGGCCCTGGAACGGGGCTTGCTCCCTGGAAGGCGGCGTCGAGAAGCGTGAAGAACTTGGCTTGCTCAAGCAGAGCATCGGTCCCAGGAGACTCCTCGAGCTGCTGCAAGATGTCCACCAGCTTCTCAGTCGGGTAGGGCGTCGCCGCGCAAAGGCCGAGCTGCTCCTTTGCGCCGAGGGAATTCTCGGCAAACATCTGCGCGGCCGACGGCTCAATCTCGCCCGTAGGTCCCACCACCGAAAAGAAGTCAGAGTCGCACGCGGCCGCGAGGCCGCTCCACGTCTCCTCAAAGGAGAGCGCCTGCACCCTTGCGTAGCCGTAGATGTCCTCTGAGATTGGCACGTTGCCGTCGAGGATGAGCTTGTCAACTTGGTTAGGGAAGATCGACGCATAAACGCCGCCCACCTGCACAAAGAGCGAGCAGTGCCAACCCTAGCCGCGTGCGTTCGGCGGCACGCGAAGCACGCACGCACCTCTGTTCCGTAGGAGATGCCCCAGATGGAGAGGTGCGTCGCGCCGATGGCCCTGCGCAGCAAATCGAGGTCGTGCGCCAAGTCGGTCGTGCCCGCGAAATCCTGGTACACCATGCGGCCCCGCGCCACGTTCTTCCCGAGCTGGTACTCGGGGACGGTGCGACACTCGTGCGCCGCGGCTTGATTGAGGTGGGCCAAAATCTGCGCGGCCGTGCGATCGAACCGTCAGGCGGAGCCGGCGCGCCGACGGACGGCGCGCCCATCTGGGGCGGTGGGCGAGAGAGGGGCGAGGCGAGTGTGAAGAGCACACCTCTACCAGTTCCGGCTTCAGCGACAAGTAGTGCTTGACAAAAGCCCCTTTCGAACCCGCCTCCGTCAGCGCGTCAACTACCGGCTTGAAATCCCTTCCGGCGACCGTAAATGCGGCTTTCACTGCGTTTAAGGTGTAGTCGCTCCCGGGGCTGAGGCACTTGATGGTTGGGAAGCGTGTCACGGGGGTGCCGTCTTCGTCCTCGAAGGGCACAGGCGGGAGGTTGTCATCGTCGTCGTAGCGGTTGTCCGCTTCGGTTGCAATGCCACGCTGCGTGATGGCAAGGTTGTCGTACAACCCTTGCTCGACCAAAGGGTTCGTTTCAGCGCCCATCATCAAATGGCAGCTGTTGTCGGTGCCCGGCCCGCCGCAGTGGGACTACGCACACCGCGTTCGCCCGTGAGCAAAAGCTCGACGCAAGAGGCTGGGCAGGGGCACTGCGCACCAGGAGCGGCTTGGCAGCTGGAGCGCAGCGTGTATAGACGGAGACGCGCAGCGCGGTATATCCGAGCGGAACGCCCAGCTCTTCCAGCCCAGGCTGGTCGTGCAGGATGGGCACCTTAAGCCACCCCAAGTAGACCAACGGCCATGCGGTCTGCTCGGGCTTTATGTCCCATACGAGGTACTCGGGGTTGGGTTCGCACAGTGAGAAAGACTTGGGTTGCGTTCCGAAGCCGAGGGCTGCGATGGCGAGGCCAATCATGGCGCCAAAGCTTTAGGTAGCAAGGTGTCTGCGCAGGAGGGGTGCGTCGGTGGTGATGGCAGATGCCCGGAGCGAGAGCGGGTCGCTCTCTTACCAGAAGAGAGGGAGGGCGGTCGCGCGGGACAAGGGTCTAGGTGCGAGGCCGCGAAGGACATGGGGGACATGGGGCTCGTAGCAGGAAAGGCAAGCGCCTACGGGATCGCGACCATGTGAAAGAGGGTGAAAAACTGGTATTAAGATGTCTGGGGTATATGGGGTATATGGGGGTATATGGGGGTATATGGGGGTATATGGCTATGATAAAATCTCGGGGAATCTCCCCTCGAAACGATCTGGAGCCCGCCCGCCACCCACCCACCCAGCCCCGCAGCCCCCCCCCCCCCCCCTACCCGCCCCATGCCTTCGAGCCTCGCCTACACGGATAAAAAGAAATTAGCGACGGCGGCTGCACAAAAACACAAAAATGAATGCAGCTGAACGGGAAGAGAGAGCGAGAGAGGAGAGCCGAGCCTACGGGCAGTACGTCGGCGGCGTGAGCGTCGAGACGAGGCCGCCGGCGCGCTCTCTCGCGTCCTCGGCGCTCGGACTGGAGCCGGGCGGCGATTGGCGAGCAAGCGAGAGCGGGTCGCTCTCTTGCCAGAAGAGAGGGAGGGCGGTCGCGCGCGCGCGGGACAAGGGTGGGGAATGGGCAGCAGCGGACGCGTCTCGCGGCTTCCTCGATGGCAGCGGCTGTACCTGCGAGCGGGAGTAGGCAGGCGGTGCGAGGCCGAGGGGGGTACAGCCGCTCGCGCCGCGAGAGAGGGCGCATCGCGTGGTGCGGGTGGTGAGGGGGCGGCGGGTTCCGTGAGCAATAGGCGTCGCGGGGGTCTAGGCGTGCTGCTCGCGGCGGCATAGTCGGGCGCAATGCGGCGCGGCAAGTGCGAGCGGACGAGGAAGTGCCATGGCTTGCCTGGTGTGATGTCAGTCAGGCAAACGCCGTCGGGGGAACATGGGGTACAGGTTCTCTGGAAATCCCAGATTTTTCCCATGAAATCCTGGATTTTTTCTTTCTAGGGAGCCGTCCCGGTCCGTTTCTTAGACGTGTCCTGGACGATCCCTCCCCTGCAGGCGCCTCGCCGCCACCTTCAGTGTGTCGCCTCCGACCTGCTGCTGCTGCTGCGGCAGCACCGGAGGGAGGCGAGGCTGGCGCTGCCGCTCCTCCGCACGGCGCCAGCGGCCCGGTCGAAGGGGGCGAGGGCGGTGTGTGGACGGCGTCTCTTCACGCGCCGGCTCGCTGTGAACAGACGGAGCACCTGCTCGAGGCGCGCGTCTTCGAGGCGCTCCTCGGCGAGCCCCTCCCGACCGATGGCGAGGGCGAGGGCGAGGGCGAGGGCGGGGGCGGGGGCGGGGGCGGGGCGCTTTTGCAGAGGCGCTGCACCGCGCAGTGAGCGACGCCGCCAGGGCGTGTGCACGCGAGATGGCGGCGCTGCGCGCTTTGCGCTCGGCATTAAGGTTGGCCCCCCCCCCCCCCCCCCACCCCACCCTGCGCACCTCCTCTCCCCCGCCTGCGCGCCTCCGTGCTGCCCCCGTCCCCCCCTCGGGTTCGTCAAGCGCCCGCCGTTTAAGTTTCGGGCGCTCATGCCTAAGTGAGGGTGTGAACGGGACTACGCCCCTCCCTGAGAACGAGCAGTCTGCGACCAGCGCATCCAAACGATCTTCTTCTTTGAACTGGGCCGGGGTTCGCCGGTCTTGATGCCGGCGAGTCCGCCGCGGGCCGCCCGGAAGTAGCGGTTGCGACTGCAGCGACGCGCCATGGCGCGCGTCCCTCGCCGCCGCCCCCGCGTTGACTGTCAACAATAACATCGTCAGCGCTCGCTGCACATGCGGCGCGAACATTGGGAGGCGCAGCAGCTATGTCGTGCTGGCCATAAACGGCAAGCCCGGCTTTCCGACACTGCCCGCATTCTGATGCGGCCTGCCCTTTAATTTGCCGCAGGGCCACAGCGAGGCACTTGGAGCACTTGGAGTGCAGTCGGTAGCCTCACATCCAGGGCCGGGGAGCTAAGAGGCGAGCGTGAGGCGTGTTAGGAAGGGGCAACCAGTATGTGGTGTGAAAACCCCTATTTGGTGCGGCGGCGCAGAGTGCGCCGAAACGGCGGAGAAAACGGCATGCCCTGTTCGTCACGTGTCGTGCTAGGTCCATCTCGTACGCGCTCGTTACCCTGCTCCGCAGGTGTGCCTTTGCCGCCGCGTCCGCCTCACATCCAGGGCTTGTCGTGCTGTGTCTGGTGTCTAAGGCCGTACTAGCCCCGAGTAGAGGGGGCGTTCCGCTGCTAGGGGAAACCCGGAGCGCAGAGCTAACCCTCGGGGACCCGTGTTTACTTTACGGCCCTTTCCCTGCGAACGCGCACCCCCAGGGCTAGGGCTCTCTTGGTCTTGCCCGCAACCCGATCCCGATCATCCGGCCCGCTGGGGGTGCGCTTCCGCGCTTAGCACACCTTAGCTCCCTGGCCCTGGATGTGAGGCTACCAACTGCACTCCAAGTGCTCCAAGTGCTCGCTTAGGCCCCTACTTTTCTTTGTTTCTTTCTTTAAACACACAGACGATTGTGCCTCACGTGGGCAGAAAGGTACCGCTCTCGCTAGCGCTGCGCAACCCCCTCGCCATCGCGCGCACGAACGCCGCCGACCCAGGCAGCCAAGTGTGCTGCGTCCCTGCAAGCAAGTGGTCAAACGCCGGCCCGTGCTGGGCCTCGAGCGCCCCAAGGAGCGCCGACCGGCCGGCGAGTCCGATCCTGTTCCAGTAGCAAAAGACGCGACAGCGGCTTCCCGGGCCTGCGCGGCGCAGCGCAGCGGCGATCGCCTTCGCACCCGTATCGCCGACATCGCAAAAGGAGACGGAGAGCGCGAGCTTCGGAGGCAGCGCCCGTGTCTCCAGCGCCGAGGCCAGCGCCGCCGCCCCTTCGTCGCCGATGGGCGTGCCCATCAGCGTGAGGAGCGTCAGCCTCCGCGCCACGCCCCGCTCGAAGACACTGCAGACGGCCGCGACGCCCCTTGCGCCAAAGCGGCTGCCGTTGAGCGACAGTATGTCTAACTCAGGCAGCGCGCCATGGTCGATCCCGGCCGCGAGTTCTCTCGCTCCCTCGTCGTCCAGACGAGCGCCGCAGACTGCCAGCTCCTGCAGCCGCTCGCAATAGTTGAGGGCCTCTGCGAGGCGCGTCGGCGAGGTCCACTCGTCGCCGCGCACGAGCGGCAGCCCTACGTAGCTGAGTTCTCTCACCTAGGAGGGAGAGTGTGAAGAGTGAGTTATGTGGACAGGGAAAGTGAGTGCGCTATGAACGTGTGAGAGGACGGGAGAGTGCCCGGGGACACTCACCGTCCCCAGCACCGCGGCCGCCGTCTTCGCGTACAGCTGCAGCACAAGGGAGGAGTCTGCTCCGTTGGTGAAGCGGCAGCCGGCGAGCAGCTTCGCCATGCGCTGCGGCGTCGTCGGAAGGCGCCGCTCCGCGCCGCCGCCCTCGTCAGAGACGTCGATGACAAGGCTCCACCGAGCCGACTGCAAAGAGCTGAGCTTTGCTAGCTCGGCGGAGCACCGTTCGAAGGTCGTCCATCCGCGGCTGTCGTAGGTCCGGCTCGGGTCGAAGCCGGCGGGAAGCTCGTCGGGCAGCTGCGTGAGCAGCACCACGGTGATGGCGGAGTGCGCGTACCACAGATCCATCGTGTTGCTCAGCATGCGATCAAAGGCGGCCTTCTGCTCCGCGGTTCGGCTCGCCTCGTACGCGCGCCGGTCGGCGGCTTGCTGCTCACTGAGCGCGCCGTCGCTCTTGGCGTACAGCGCCTGGTCCGCCATCCACCCTCTCCACAGCGCCGGGTCCTTCTGGTAGCCCGAGGACCAGTCGAGGAAGACGCCCTGCGCGAGCCAGGAAGGGGCTGGCGGTGAGGAAGGGAGTGGGAGTGGCGGTGGGCAAGGTGCGGGAGGCAGCTCACCATGTCGGAGAAGCCGTACTCGCGGCACGCGCCGAGCAGGCCGCGCCCGCCGTACAGACTCCGCAGCTTGCGGCAGAGCAGCTGCAGCTGGCGGCCCTCCCGATCCGGATGCGCGGCCTCGAGCCAGCAGTAGGAGATGGAGACCTGCCCGGTGAATGCACCAACCTCAGGGCGGGAAGGCGGTACTGTGCAGAGTCTTCAGAGCACCGTGTGACGACGAGGGGTGCGACTACAGTGAGTACAGCGGAGCACGGCCCAATACAGCGGAGTACGCGTCCTCTCGAGCCCTAGTTGGACTACCCATACACGTGTTCCGCTTCTAGAGACGGAGACGATCGGAAGGAGCCCGTCGGCGTTGCGCTTGCTGTGCAGCGGGGTCGCCATGAAGCCGAGGAAGGGGGAGAGGCCGCCGCCGCCCTTGCTCCAGGCGGCGAAGACGCGCTCGAACCGGCGCACATCGAGGCTGCGCCTCGCGCCCGCCTAGAGGCAGGTTCACAGGAGGTTCCGGACACTCGCCCCACAAACAGGGGAGGGCTGGGCTGCATCGCCGGCCTCTATCCGCTTCAGCCGCGCCGCGTCCAGAAACGCCTCCTCGGGCAGCTCCTGCCGGCGCGGCAGCACCCCATTCTGGTCGGCCAGCCCCATCAGCCACGAGAGGCTAAGCAACCGCACATCGCCGCGTATGATTTTGTCCCCGTCGCCCTCGAGCGCCGCCCAAACTGAGTCGTGCTCCCGATAGCGTCCTCCGTCCTCGCTGGCCGGCGCCGGACGCCGAGAGCTGGGTTCGTTGGACTCGACATCCGACTCGCAGGGCTCTGTGGTCCGAGGAGGGCCGCGGGCTAAGAGCTCGTAGGCGAGGAGAGCTGCCGGCTTCAGAAGGAAGCCCTCGACAATAAACCCGAGGAGCCAGTACATGCCGATCGGGAGGTGCACGAAAAGGACGAACGGTAGCCGGACGAGCAGAGGCAGCCGGCGCCAGCGATGCCAGGCAGGTGGCAGGCCGATATCGTCGCCGGAGACAAGCGAGCCGGCGATGGCTAGTGGCGGAAAGATAATGGCGAAGAATAGCAGGAGCAACGGCAGCAGCGGCAGGAAGCAGAAGAGCACCACGGCAACGCTCTGCAGCAGGTGCCTAGCCGCACTCACGGCGCGGCGCATGCGAGGGCAAGGACTCCAGTTGCCCAAAAGCGGGCGCCAAAAAGAGCAAAAGATGCCCCCACACACGAGAACACCACTGGGACACCCATGACACACTAGAACAGGTATGCCACGAGGCGGGATGAGACTAGACGTCTCGGACGAGACTCGTCACTCGACGGAAACCTAAATCGTGAACATCGGGTTGCTGCGCGGCGGGTCAACCCCATTATGCGCAGTCATCCAGATGTCAACTGCACCTCAGGCAGTCGCCGGCGTGGGCGGGAGGGGCGACTGTATCTGAAGGCGCGGTAGCGGTAGACGGGCAAGCCACAGCTGGCAAGATGCCGATCGCCATTGACCTTGCTCGAGCCGCGGCGAGCCCTGAAAGTGGAGCGTGTCAGGATCGATTGCTCGGCTGTGAACTGACCTCGCTGTGAATGTGACCGCCGTCACAGACACTATTGTCCATGAATGGTAGACTGAGAGTAGAGTAGAATCGGGTCGAGCGACCGGCCCAGTCGACCGTCCCCTCCCCTCAGCAGAGCGGGCGAGAATCCTAAAGGATTCACGCCTCCTCTGCCAGGGGCCCCTCCACTCGCCTGCACCTGCTCGAACCCTGAGCACTGTGCGGCGTTGCACGCTCGAGGTCGTGCATGATGTAGTAATCATTGTCTTGAGTAATGCGCTTCTCTCGACCGAGAGCGCTAGCCTCTACACCCCTTCGGTCCGTCGAATCTCGGCGCGGCAGATGCGACGCCGAGACTGACGAAACCTCCCTGTGGTGGGCTGCTGAGCCTCCCCACGCTCGACCTTTGAGGTAGTATGATGGAAGGTCGATGCCCGGAACGGCCTAAGCTCAGCTGAACCCCACGCATAGACCTCCTCGAATCACCTCAAAGGTAAGGGATGGCAACTGGCGGTTGAGTCGCTGACGTCGCACGACCATGCGCCCGAGAGACCGATCGTGATTATCGACCGATCTCGCAACTATCCCAGCGAGTAGTCCGGTGCTCCGGTAAAACCCCCCCGCCCCCGCCGTAGCGATGACGATGAGGAAATAGCACCCGACGCGAGTCGGGCCTACACTCGCTTGGGTGGCAAGCACGCCACAGTTGCACTCATCAACAGTGTCAAACACCGTTGCCACTGTCGACTTAAACGATAGCAGCTGCCGACCTGATTGCTGCTTCGTCGTGACCCAAATTTTAACTGAGCGAGTTGATGATCCTGCCCATACGGTCTGCTGCTTCGACGTCGAAGAGCATTACTCCGACCGTGTCGTCAATCGACCATTGTTGCCCCATCGACGACATCGGCCGAAATCATGCGTCGCGCAAGGCAATTGAAAGATCGACCACGAGTGGATCGATCAACCTGCCCATCTGGCGTGCGCCCAGAGCTGGTCTGGTAGCAGCCAGTGGATCTCTCTGAATCTGAATCCGAGCGTGAGACTAGTCAAGCATCTACTCAAAGTCCCTACACAGAAAGAGGCGAGTGAGGGACGCTCTCGGCGGATCTCTGGACAGCCTCGGCCGATCTCGGCCCACCTCGGCCAATCTCGGCCAATCTCGGCCAATCTCGGCCAATCTCGGCCAACCTCGGCCGACCTCGGCCGATCTCGGCCAACCTCGGCCTATCTCGGCCAGCCTTGGCCATCCTATTCCACCCTTGGCCCACGCGCCAACCACCTCGGCCCACGCGCCCAACAACCATGGCCCACGCGCCAATCTCCCATCAGTGGTCGATGGCGGGCCCATCGAGTGCCCTCCCGCCATCGCCTCCGGCAACGCCCCAGTCGAGTCCGGTGTCATCAGTGACAGGTCCATTCGACCGAACCGAACCCGCCCGACATCCTCGGCGGCCGTCTCTCAGGCCCTACGCCACGCGGGCCGAAGGGTCAGAGATTGACCGTGGAGCGCGCCGCACTCGCCTGTTGCCCCACACGAACACCACGATCCCCATTTAGGACGGGTAGTCGTGCGGGGCGCTCCCAGTCACACCGACTTACTCGGGAGCGTGTTGACGGCGCCACATACCTCCATAACTACTCGGAGGGCGGCATGTCGTGGCCCGTCCCCCGCCCTTGAGGGCGTCGAGACGGGGCCGACCGCGTCTGCCGTAATGAACGGCGGCGAGTGAGGTCGACCCTCGCCCATACCTCCATCCACGGCCATGCGACACGCGGGAGAAAGCTGAACGGGAGCCTAGGGTCGGTCGGCAGCAGCCCGCCACCTGCAGGCTGCTGCTCGACCGCCCTGGAATCAAAGGCGGGGATGCCAACCTCTCGTCTGGCCCACTGAATGTATGTCGCCCGTACCCGGCCGCTGCTCCCGGCAGTAACACGAATACGGTTGACTGTCCATCCGGACATTCGAAAGTATCAACTCGCACCCGGTCCCCGCTCCCGGCAGGAACACGAGTACGAGCCAGCTGGGTTCCGCTCCCGGCAGGACCAACAGCTGACGATACTCTCGTCTCCCACGCTCGGTCCCTGAGACCAGTTACACGAGCGCGAGAGTCAGCCGGGCCCCGCTCCCGGCAGGACCACAGCTGAATTCAGCGAGCGTACAGGCTCGAGGTGGCATCGCCTCCTGATCCGCAGCGGTTGCGTCGCTACGAGTAGTACGCTCGCGGTTCACCACCCTGCACCGAGCAGAGCGCGGATCCAGAGCATATTTCATATAGATCCGCAAGGCAAACCACGGCGACCATCCCGCTGACCACAGCAGTCCATACTGTGGCCACGGCCTCGCGTCGTTGCTTCCACGCGCTGTCTGCAGAGCCCGTCAATACAAAATCCCCGTCAGGCGCAGACCCGTCTGAAGCCGCTGCTGACGCACAGCCGGCGGGTCAATCAGACACTGGGTGCTGGCCGTCGATGGGCTGAAGTGTGGGTTGCAGGGACAGCGCGCGAGGAACTGAAGCAGAATGCATCGGTCTGGGTCCTATCGACGCCAGACTCGACCATATGCCGACTACCTGCCTCCATTGCGGAGGTAGGCGAGGATGGACTGCCACTTGGCATCTGTCCAAGTCTGGGGAACCGCACTGGCATCAAAGATAGTGCCAGAGAGGCGCCCCAAACCACTGCAACGGTAACGACACTGGCATAGCTCGCCGGATTGTTGGCCTCGCAATGGCGACCCACCATCGAGGCGTCAGCGGCCGAGCAATATCGCAGATGCTGTCGCGTAGGCCGGCCGGGACCACATCGGTGAGCTGACCCAGCAGAACCTCGACGACAACAGACATTCAACGCACACCAGTTACTTTGACTGTGCGCTGACTCACGCGTCCCCGCGCCCGTAGAGGAAGCGAGGCAGTCGAAAGACGAGCGCGGTGCCGTCAACGACGACACTCGGCTCGGCTGCACCCACCGCCACCACGGCAATCGCACCGACAAAAACGATAAACGTAGAGAACCGCAGGAAAGCATGGCACCGCACGCGCCAGCAAGGCACGAATGACGTCTGAGCGAAGCCAAGGCTCTCTGCGACTGTATCTGAAGGCGCGGTAGCGGTAGACGGGCAAGCCACAGCTGGCAAGATGCCGATCGCCATTGACCTTGCTCGAGCCGCGGCGAGCCCTGAAAGTGGAGCGTGTCAGGATCGATTGCTCGGCTGTGAACTGACCTCGCTGTGAATGTGACCGCCGTCACAGACACTATTGTCCATGAATGGTAGACTGAGAGTAGAGTAGAATCGGGTCGAGCGACCGGCCCAGTCGACCGTCCCCTCCCCTCAGCAGAGCGGGCGAGAATCCTAAAGGATTCACGCCTCACCAAACTCCCTCGCCCACACTTCATGAGCCGTGGGGAGATTCACTGACGTCCCTCGTTTGATCGAAGAAACCCTGGCCCGAGCGGCTGCCCGCATCTTTGATCTGCTGTGTGAGTGTTGAGGTGATGCGAGCGCGCGTGCGCGCGGCGCGCGTGCCGTTTTGGGTCTCTTTTATACCAGTGATGAAATATAAACCGACTTTACCACGCGCGCGCACGCGCGCGCCGCGCTCCTCGACTCTCTCGCACCCGCCCCGAGCCACGCCCCTCACGAGATAGGCGGCTGCGACCCTGAGAGTGCGCAGCGGTGCCGCTGGCGTGCTCACCACACCCGTCCATCATGCCTGCATCATTCCTGCACGTACTGCCCGGTCTGGTCGGGGCGTGGGGCGAGATCTGGCATGGCGGCGCGCTTGAACTGAGCGCCTTCGATCGTCTCGCGGCGACAGCTCGCAGGCCGGGCGGCCAGAAACTGTGCCGCTCAGCCATCCGCCGAAGCGAGCGCGCCGGCGGCGGTCCGCCGCCGGCGCGCTCGGCTCAGTGTCTTCAAGCCCGCCGGTGGGGAGCTCCGCTTGCGGGCAACGATTGAACTGCGGGCAGCCTCGCTGTCCGTGAATCAAGCACTCTTCACGGACTGTTTGATTGTGGAAACACCCAATCTCCCCACCCCTTATACGTGCGCTCATAGGAACTTCCTACCGGTACGGTAACTATTAGTCTCCAGTAACGGGGAGCGCGTCACGCTACAAGCAAGCAAAAGCTACTGTGGGTACCATGAGGCGCTTCCTCGGCGTCGGCCGTCGCCGCCGCCGGTCGTCGGCGGCGGTCAATCCCGCTCTGGAGGACGCCGCTGCGGATGTGAGACGGCATGGCTACAGCACCCGGCTGATGCACTTCCTGCCGCTGCAGACCAGGCTGCTGCGCACTACCTGCATGATCTGTGCAACGCAAGTTGGTATCACATTCTGGCGGCGCTGGGAGCAAGTGCCAACGCGCTGTCTACTCGAGAAAGATCAGCCCTGTCTGGCGCCTCAGTTTCAGCTCAGCGACATGGCAGCGCGCGCATGGGTCACCATTTGGGCTCTTGGTGTTGCTGGATGCGCTATCATGTGCCTGGCCTCCGGGAGGCTGCAGCGGGCCGCTTCGGCATTTGTCTGCGCGGTGTGGGTGTTGCACTTGTGTTCGGCTGAGAACTGCACGCCGCCACACATAGCCTATGTGACCCTCGCGCTCTGTTACTGCGCCGTCGCGCCCGAGCACGGGCGCCCTTTGTGTCAGCGGCGCGCGGCGCGGCGGCGGGCGGCGCGAGGCGGCGGTGCGGCGAGGCAGCGGGCGATGCAGGGCGGGGCGGCGCGGCTGCTGGTGGTATAATTACTTATTTGGTAATTAATTATTACTTAATAATCATCGGGCGGCGGCGCGGCGCGGCGGCGGGCGGCGCGGAGCGGGGCGGCGAGACCATCAGCAGACGCCCGGGCCTTTGGTCGCTGGAGCTCGGCAATGGTCGCGCCGCCCTCGACTCAAGGGGCTGCCGTCCATCCGCCGCTGCTCAGGCCGGGTGAGGGGGGGAGACCTCCTGTTCCTCGCGGGACGGGAGCAGGCCCCTCCTCGCCCGGTCTGCGAAGCAGGGCGGTGGTCGTGCCATCTTCGCTTCAAAACGACCACGCCGCAATCGTCGCCGGCGCGCGACACGATCTCGGCGGCCGGACTGTCCTCGTCGAGTGTGTGCCGCCGAGGCGGGACGCACTCAGGGACAGTGGCGACGAGACGCGGCTCGAGGGGCGGCTCTCGCGAAGGCACGGCTGGCAACCGTGGCGCGGGGCTCTTCCTCTAAAAGTCGGGTATGGCTCACCCGAATACCACGTTCGGATCGCTCCTCATCGCAAACCCTGTCAGCAGTTCAACTACAGGTATGTTCGTAAGAGCTACATACATACAGAAAGAAAGAAAGAAAACAGACACGCCAAACGAGGGATGGGACGAGGACAGGGTCCCCACCTGCACGAGCAGGATTTTGGAAGGACGATCAGGGGGACAGGTGGGGCTCTCCTGCTCCTGACAAGGGACACGACAGGCTCGCAGCGCGGTGCGCGGTGGACTCCCACATCCACTGGCGGTCTCATCTCAGTCTAGCGACCTGCCTCCAGCTTGTCGCTGGCAGTCTCTCGCTGCTGACTGGACTGTCAGTCACTGACTGAGCAATCGCATCGGCGGTACTAGTAGGGTTACTACGAGGTCTCTGTGCGGGATATGCTGGGGGGCTGCCCCCCAGTCGATTGCCGCATAGTTCGTCGTAGTAGCCCTATCATAAACCTCTTACTCACACCTTGCAATTTTAAAAAAGAAATATCCAACTTTTGTCGAAGATCCGGAGGGTTTATCGGAGCATCACCCCGGGGGGCCCGCGGCGGGCGCGGGGCGCCCCGGGGGCGGGCCCAAAGACACAAGAGAAAAATGTGTCATAGCCAACTCTCCACGTGGCCGCGTGTGCGAGTCATAGCCGCTTCACCTCGAGGCTTCTACGGGAATTAC